TAGACGTACGTTTACGTTTCCTATAGGAACTTTATCATAAAAGATATTTTTAAATTTTGTTTAATTCTGTACTCACACCACTGCAATTTAAAGCTCATAATTCTATACGCGAGAACTTGTACTGGGCTCACCGATATCTGTACTTATTGCTATTTTTAATTGTTTTTACTAGGTGTAAGTCTTCTATGTGCTATATATGAATAAATAAATAAAGATAACAATGTCCACTGTCAATGAAACAAATCGATATTTTGTTTTAAAGCCTTTCTATGCTATATTTCAGTGGTTCTATAAAAAATATAATTATTTCGCTCAATCAGGTTGAAGAACATTCTATATTGACCCTAATCTAGTTGCTAACTGCGGACTTGCCCACGTGTCGTACCTACATAAAATTTTGCGTTGGACTTTCCCCCACGTAGCAGACATATATCGTCTTAACTAATAAATCAGAACCAAGTTATAAATAAAATTCTTAAAATAATTTTACGACTAAAGAAGATTAATCAGTGAGTGCCGAAATCGTCTATACGTAACTTTTATTGCTAACCATAAACTAAACCAGAGACTTCAGGAAATATAAATTACCATAAACAACTTTGCTGTTCGAAATACAAAATTTATTTACTATTATTACATTTTCTACCCACATTTTGTGTGTCATTACTTATTTCTAATCATTTTTATTATATTCGAATGTCCATTTTAACATCTTGATAATGTTTTAATTACATTTTGATATGAAATATTACAATTCTATAGAAAGAAATTACTGACAATATTTTACTAATTTTTCCATTACAAAATTTTATAGCAGTATACGGCTTCTCAAAGTCAAAAACATTATCTTAATTAGATCACTATAAGGCACATTTGGTCATCAAACACAAAAAATTGTGTCCGTCTGTCGCTTAATCCTCTAATGAAGCTAGTTTCTCGTTCCACAGAGTATAATTTCTATGAAGAAAAACAAGCAGGAATCTCTATTCTTCAAGCCTTAAGCCAAGGATACACTAGGGGGCAAATTTCACAATATATATCGGTGACATGTCGAGCGAAGCCGGCCGATATTACCTGAGATATACGGTGACAACGCGTAACTTATGTCCACAGCGATGTTGATGTTGCTAGACATATTGACTAAAATCCGGCAACGTCGCGCTACTTCACCCGACGTCGCTGGCGACACGTGTCGCAGGACATTTGCCCCCTTGTATTGGCTTACTGTCTTATAGGGTCCACAGATGGGGCCCAATAGGGCCGATGCCGATTCGGAGTCGCGGAGAACCTAACGGGTAACCGGGGCTCCAGCTCGACGTGCAGAAGGAACGGGGTGGTTTTCAGTCAGTAAGAGTCTAACACTCCCTCCCGCCTCACCCAGGCGGGAGCAGTCATTCGATGATTTTTCCCCCTTAAAAAAAAAGTGTCTTATAGAGTTTAATTATGATCCCAGACTTCGTATATCATTTTTAAAGAAAATCCAATGTTTCTCTGCTATATTCATTATTTAAATACAAAAACTGAACTACGCACCATCTGTCAGCGATCTCATACAATTTTTAATCAAGTAAATATATTAAAATTTATATATTTGTATTGAAATTCCAAACAAGTTACCGAATGTTTATAATTTCAACAGATTAAAATATTTTCCATGCGTTAGCCTAATTTATATTATGCAATCTCATCGTAGTTACATGTCTATTTTTATCGTGAAACAGAGTAATGTAAGATCAAATTTACACTACCGTACATAATACATACATACATACGTCTTTAGTCAGCCAAATTATTTGGTATCACATCACATCAACAGCCTATAAGTGGCCACTGCTGACCAAAGGCCTCTTCTCGCGCAGAGAAGGATTGGCGACTTCAAATTAAAACAAAAATTTGAAGTAGATGGGTAGGGATTTAGTATGGGACGCCACTTGCGTTGATACTCTGGCGACATCCCATCTTCCAAGCTCAGCGTGTCGAGCCGGGGCTGCCGCTGCTGCTGCCGAGAACCTCAAACGGCGAAAGTATAATAGCCTGATTGGCAATTATGCTTTCGAACCGTTTGGGGTTGAAACTTTAGGGCCGTGGGGTCCAAGTGCACATCTTCTTTACAAAGATATTGTAAGGAGGATGGTTGACCCTTCAGGTGATCGAAGGGCTGGCTACTACCTTGGGCAAAGGTTAAGCATTGCCATTCAACGTGGCAATGCTGCCAGTCTTTTGGGCACCCTACCTCACGGTAGCCACGAGGAAAATGTTTTCTTTGATGCATTATGATATATTTTTATTATTATTTCTTTAAGGTGTAAATATTTTAGTTTTAAATAATTTATATTTTAAGATGCTTTAAAATAAATTGCTTAGTTTACTTTTAAATAAATAATTAAGAAAATATTAGGTAATGAAATATGTATCTCACATATAATTCTGTAAATAAATCATTTTCAAATAAAAATTATAAGCCCAGGTTTCTGCACGATGTTTTTCTTCGCCGTTTGTCAGTGATGTCTAAATAATCTCAAAGAGTACATACAACACGAATAATGTCACATTAAAGCCGTGCGTTGTTAGGTTACGAATCAGCATCCTCATGTATGAGAAGCGAGCATCTTAAACCATGACAGATTTATATATAATTATAACTATAAGACTATAGTTATTATCTATTGTTATACCAAGGTACATGTTTTTAATGAAGTCATATATTTTGTAACCATTGTTCGGTTCAGTAGCAACCTATGATTACTGTCTCTATAAAGAATCAATTTTTGTTTTCTTATCGGTACAGTATACAAAATTTATTGACTTGGCTTTATATATATATATATTTATACACATACCTCTACACACATATACCCACATACACACATATACTCATGCCTTTGTCCATTGGCCGTAATTATAATACGTTGTACTTGGAAATCGCTTAACCTGAGTATCATAGAACGACCTGAAAATCAAAGAACTTGACGCTTATTAAAATATTTTTTTTGTGTTTACTGTTCACGGGACCACAGGGCCGCGGTCATTTGAGAGGCATACCAGGGGCCGTAGCCAACTGCGCAGAGGCCCTTTAGATAACTTTACTCTAAATGTAATGGACACATAAACCGGCGACAATTACTGTATGCACTACAGAAATGCACCCAAGGACAGTCCCCGGTTAGTGTAGAACTATTGTGGATAATGGAAAAAATGGTAGGGCTATGGATGGGTTGCTGTGGACTGGTAAATTGGGAACTATGAATGAATTTGGCACCTGCCGAAACAATGTAATTATTACACGTAAAAATGGCAGGCGAAGACTCGCCAACAAAGGAATTAATTATTGTTATATTACAAAAAGAGGCAACACATTTCATATTAGTTATAGTCGAAGACAGCCGACTGCTGGACTGTGGGTCTAGCATGACTAGGTAGGTAGTACCTACGTAAAAATCTTTAGTTATTACCCATCACTGTGGATAAAAGTGGGTGGCGCTCTTTATTTTCTGACTATCCCTATAAGACAAAGGAGTGAGATTAAATATAAATGAATTACTTGTCGGAACACGTATACATAACTGTTTTATATTGTATTAATTATAGTATTAAGGTCTACATCATTATGTAATATGATAGAAAAATAAATAAAATGTGTTATTATTAGTTATTACTGTTATAATTATAACCTTAAACTCCCTTAACCGATTACCATGCATGAAAAGTCTGATGACTGTTGAGGAAACGAAATACATATGTAAGAATCGTAGCAATTAGCGTTCCATAGTCTCTGCCTACCCTCTGGGAGACAGGCGTGAGGTTATGTATATACATAACCTAATATTGTAATACATGTGTATGTATTATAATATTATTATTTTAGCTAATTAGTACTCTTAGTAAGAAGACAACGAGTATTCCGAAAAAAAATCGAATTCCAGTGGGGCTACCGAGAATTTTAATAATTATAGAAATAAATATACTTTCATTAAGGGTTCAATTTCAATGCTCACTGAAAAATAAGCACTCAAAAAATTAGAAGCAGGAATTGAGTGCGGGTTGATATAAAGAGCGATTTAAATAGGTACCTATCTTATATACTGGCAGATACTATGATAGAAAATAATTCGATTTCAACAATTCCTGTAACATATATAGTACGGTACATGACAATAAGCACGGCCAACCTAGCATGGAATTAAAAAAAACGTAATAATTAGGAACATGTGATACCTACTTTAGTTTTCTAATATTTTCAAAAAAAATTAAGGCGATTTTTTTATTATAAGATTATTATACAAAACTCAGTCAATGTGTACTAACTAAACTGCTGAATAATCCTACGTTTTGGTTAGATGACCTAAATAAGTGTGAACGTGGACTTAAAAGATATTTTGATTGTATCAAAAGAAGGAAATGATTTAAAATTTCAGGCAATACGATAGTAATATGATAAATCGGAAAAATACATAATATGAATTATTATATTTTTTGTTTCTCACGTAATAATTTGACGAGGAACTCGACTAATTCCAAGCCATACTAGAGGCTCATATTCATGAGCAGCATTTCGCGACCCGCGACGCGGCGACTGTCGCGCTGCTACACTGAGTAAGCCGAAAATATAATAATTTATTTAGTATGTCTCACGAAAGTTACCATACCTACATAATATGAATTACAATACAATTTTTTCACTAATATAAATTCTTAATTATTGATTTAATGAAATTGGAAATCATGGGCACTATTTTATTGGTACCTACTTAGTTGAATAAAAATAAATGTTTCTATTGAAATACTCTACTTGATACATTTCTAGTCCGTCCTAATTAATTAATTGACATCAGACCATTTGTCTAATGAAATTAGTAAATTGACACAGCTCTAGAAAATCAAATATTCATTACATTAATTTCGAAAATTGAATAAACTTGCCAACCAGAAAGTTACTTTCTGAAAACCACCGAACGAAACGAAAGTAAATAATTAATCCAATTTAAAAACTAAGTACAAACCTGTCCAGCAACTTTGTGAAGCCACACAAATAAAAAAAAATAAAACAGAAAAAAAAAACAGTCACGTAAGACACAACACTAGTTTTAAAATATAATTTAAATAAACACTAACACGATTATAGACACAGATAAAATTGTGTAATTTATTTGGGACGCGATCGAACGATTCGTAGCCGGCACGACGTAGACTCCGTAGCAAGGTCTACGCGATACTGCCGCTACGCCGGGCTATGAATACCTACCTTCGATGTGCGCACGCTTAGGCTCAGCACAGATGGTGCGATTCCGTTCAAGCCGCGTTTTCTCGTATGTCGGGAGCATTTTCATGAAAATGAATAATCTTCTGGCATTTCATTTATTGATAAAATCTTCGTTTAGAAAAAGAATTCTGTTTTTTGTTTGTTTTCGGTTAGTAACGAGGTTTTGAATTTAGTTTTTATGTGCGTGCTACTAAATTTTTAATGAATAGAAATCGGTTAGCTGTTCGCTTTTGATATCGAAAATAAATAGCTTAGGCGCTACGCGATAACATTATCTGAATTGATTTAAATTGACTAATTTACTTATAATTTTTCACTAAAAAATTGCGTTAAAAAGTTAATTTAAAGTAATTTCACATAACATCACGCCTTTTATCCCCGAAGGGGTAGGCAGAAGTTTACATTATGCCACTGTACAATGTTACACCCACTTTTCACTATTTATGTTATGAGTCCCATGTAATAGGGGGTGAGCCTATTGCCGTATACCGGGCACAATTCCAGACTCCGTGCTACTACTGGAAATTTTTGAAAAACCCAGTAATACTTTGCCCGACCCGGGAATCGAACCCGAGACCCCTTGCCTGGCAGTCGCACTTGCGACCACTCGGACAATGAAGTAATTTCATTCAATTATAAATGGTACACGTAAAACGACATGTTTCTCTTCAGCATTGAAATATAATACCTCTATATCACATTAGATAAGAAACGACACAAAAAAAGGTATAATAAAAAATGATTTCATACATGACAGAGTACTTTCCTAAAGGCTGTTTGAAAAACATTAGGCAATGGTCAGGTCAATCTCTCGTTCGATGTCTGGCAAGTACTTGATTTATTGTCATCCCCGACGCTACTTTAATGGGAGTCTGGAACTGTCTGTAAGCGAAAAGCAATGAGTATTACTCGTATTATTATTTTTATCTACAAAATGGCTGCCGTGTTGGCAAGAGGTTTACAAAGGTGTCTTCTCACACGAAATACATTTGAGTATAAAGTACCGCGCTTTCTCAATGCGGGTTGGCGATTTAAAAAATATATAATAACTATAAGTTTCATCCTCCACATCCTACATAACACTATAAGTGGCCACTGCTGAATAAAGGCCTCTTCTCACATAAAGAAGGTTTGAGCATTAATCACCACGCTTGCTAAATGTGGTTTAACAATTTTAAACTTATAATTACAAATTATAAGTCCAGGTTTCTTCACTATGTTTTCCTTCACCGTTTGTCAGTGGTATCGAAATAAACATAGAAAGTACATATTCAGAAATAGTCACACTCTTATGCATGAGAAATTGGCAATCTTTATTAATTTAACCTCCGGGCAACAACGATAAGTTACTGTTACGATCTAACAAGAAAACCAGACTCCAACTTCTATTTGTGCAACATGGACTAAACAATCGTATCGTTCCTGCAGTGCTTGTAAAACTACTAACAGTCACATCACATGCTTGTGTGGTGAAATAAAGGAAGAGGTTCTTCTGTAAAACTAGGTATAGTAGTAAAAATACAAAGGTTTGTTTTGTCTAGAAATCGACAGTTTGTAACAAACATCATCACAAAATGTAACAAATAGTAATATTTTTAACTCTTCATCATCATCATTAACAGCTTGTACTTATCCACTGCTGGATATTGGCCTCTCCAATGCAGTCCAATCCTGAACACACGCCACTGTGCTCGAATTTCACCTCTAAACAGAATTTTAGTCTTATTGCAATCTAATAATTAAATTCAACCTAATGAAATCTCACTGATAAGGTTCCTTTATATTTTCAACAACATAAGTGGGTAATATTGTGGATATTTAACTACCTAGACATTTTATTCTACTTTCCAAAAACTACCTTAACTGACCTGGTTATTCTTAAACTTCAGATGCAAGTGTTTCCAAACAGGGAACTTGTTCGGATGCAAGTTTGAGGAGGTGGTGGCTAAGTTACAGCTGCCTAGACCAACTGATCTTAACTTTAAGCTGCTCGTTGTGGTTTGTAGCTAGAATGTGAATAGGTCACAGTTTTAGCACCTAAAACCGGACAAATTGGAGTATAATATTGTCTTGAGTAGATATTCAAATTCAGTAAATTATTGGACTTATCGATTTTAATATTGTCTGTAGATAAGTAACAGCAAGAGTTAAGATAATAAATACAAGTAGTATTTATAAATCGGCCCACCTTGTAACATAATGCGGTAAAAAAAATATTATACTGCTGATTACACCATCGCGATGTATTTAATAGCAATAATTGTCATCATCATCATCCACATTGAAACATCCATTGCAGAATATTTCTCTGTCTATAATCCCACACCCACAATTGGCAGGTGACTATGACATCTTAATTTAAAGAAGATTACCCACGCTGTAATCTGATCGTAGGTTTAGAACAAATGCAGGACTACACATAGGACATACACCCACAAACGACTTAACAGTTATAATATTGGTGTAACGTAAACTATCTTTATATTACAAAAGTGCATAGTCAATCCATGGACGTTAAACACTTAGTAATGATTGAACCACCAAAATATCAGTAGCGTATTTATGTATGCGTGTACTTGCAACACCGTAATGTACATATTATGAAATGTAATGAAGGGCGTGAAGGGCCATTACTTAAATAAATAAACAACTATTTTTTTTAACTATTTTTTTACTTAAATAAATAAAAATTACAATTTATTAATTCACTGAAATAGGCGAGTTCAGAGTTTAGATACTATAAATAATAATCAAACTGTTTTCGTCTCTTGTTACTTCCTATACATTGTTAAGATTATTTTTTTACAACATTGCTTGATGCGATGCTCTTTTGGTCCGTGAATCGTTTTTGGTATTTACTCACACAGTAATTCAATGCGGGAATTCAATTTTTACAAGTTGATTTCAATAAAACATTCTAACAAAGTCTTCAAATAATTTTAATAGATTCCTGTTATAACTAGTTCACAAATTCCGAGTCTTTCTCGCGTGACCAAAAAATAACTTCATTTTTATAACATTCAATTCAAATGGCCAGTTGTCGGCATTTATCGGGATTTCCATCAAATTGACTTCATGATAAAATCTCAATGATTTGCTAAAGCGATTTTTCAAATATGTAGTTGTTTTTGTGTACAGAATCGTTAGCACGCTAATATTTCACCCGCTTAAGAAAAACAAAGGTCATTATAATATTAATAATACTATGTCCACTTTCATTTCTCATATTGCAAGTCTTATTTAAAGGTAATGAACAAAATCAATAATAGTATGGTCTTTTAGTATCATGATCTTTATTTGATGATAGTTGTCGTACTTATATTTAACTCTAAATTCTAGTTAAAAAAACATGATACATTTAAGCCACCATATAAATGGTTCTTCTTACGATGCTTTCTGCCTCGCATAGCAAAACTGTGGAATGATCTTTCGTCGCCGGTATTTCCGAACCGATACGACCTTCAAACCTTCAAGAAAAGAGCGTATTTCTTTTTAAAAGGCCGGCAACGCACCTGTGGTACCTGGGGTGTTGCGGGTGTCCATGGGCGATGCTGATCACTTGGCATTAGGTGAACCGTTTGCTCGTTTGACTACTATTTCATTAAAAAAAAATTCTGCGGTTCCATAGACACGGCGGTTGCGATTATCACCCGCTAACTTAGCGGTTGACTATCGCAAGAGTGGACTCACGAAGCGTGAGTCCTTAGACAGTACGTACATTGAAATTGAATACTTCTTCTTCTCGATCGCTTGCTTCATTTCTGAAGGTCGTGCCCCTGAAAGGCCTTCATTGCTCTCTGTGTTATTTCCCTCCACCTTGTCCTGTTTTCGGCTTCTCTCAGGGCTTTCGTAACAGAGAGTCCAGTGTAGTTGGCAACTTGGACACACCATCGGCTAGGTGAATTAAATACTATGTTTTGTAACAAAAATAACAAACAAATTTAGTGGGCAAAAAGTGGTTATATTGTAAACCTACATCTGTTGAAGTCTTCAAGTCATATAACCTACGTTCCAATATACTTACTTGAATAAGAAAAAATATTAAAGATTAAGAATGTGACTCCATTTAATACCGCTGTTATTACGCAATGTTCATTGGAATCCATATGTGAGGACTGAGCAATCTCCTCACAATGTAATGAGGAGGGTATAAAACGTAAAAAGAAGATTACTGGGCCTCTTGAAAAACTGTGAATTATATATGACGTGTATGTAATCCTGAGTTCATATTTTATTTTTAACTTGAGTACGTGTATCATCGGTAATGTTTTTTTTTCTGAAAACCATTGCCCCACACTAGGATTTTTCTCCTGTGTCGTGGGTGCGGTTACAAACATACAAGTTCATATACACATGACATCCAGACCCGAAACAACAATCTATGGATCAGACATTTTATTGTTATTTTTATGCTTATATGTATATATTGACAGTTAATAAAGTTATAAATAGGTAATGTTGAATTGCACCTGTTCTTTGAAGAGATAGGAAAAAATATAATTAGCTTGTTTTTAAAATTAATATTTTTGAATGCTGTTATTGTTTTATTATTTTATTATTAATTTAATAAAATCCATTGGTGCACATTACGGCATTTAATGCCACTGAACAATGTAACACCCACTTTTCACTATTTATGTTATGAGTCCCATGTAATAGGGGGTGAGCCTATTGTCATATAATCCGGTATACGACAATAGGCTAGACAATAGGAGTCTGGAATTGTGCGGGCACAATTACTGCGATTACGCGCTACTACTGAGATTTTTTTTAAAGTAATACTTTGCCCAACCCGAAACCCCTCGCCCGGCAGTCGCACTTGTGACCACTCGGCCAACAAGGCAGTCCATATTGTATAAATTATAGATCCTTGAAAAATTAAATAAACGAGTTAATAT